AGAACAAAAATGGACTTCTTCCAATCTGTTGGACAGACAGTTGTCCTCCAGAATTTCCTGACACAGACTGGTGAGCACATCCAAAGCTGCGTCTGTTAACTGAAATAAGCTAATAGGCATCACATCAATTCCTGGGGCCTTATTTTTTGCCAGTGTCTTCAATGCAGCTTCCACTTCTTCCTTTATTACCATTGGCTCCTGCTCATATGGTACTTAACTGAAATTTTTCAGTACTAGTCACTTCTTTTTGGTATAGTGACTCTGTGTTTTCCCTCCATCTGAAGAAGAATGATGTTGCATTCATAGTAAAAAAGTCAATTTCAAATTATGTCCTGAAATATAATGTTATGAGTGATAGTATATTGTCCATATACATAAAAGGAAGATCCATAGATATGACTATTATTCAAATATTCCCTCCTACATCTAGAGCCAAAGAAGAAGAACTTGAGAATTTTTACTAAATCTTGCAGTTCAAAACTGACTGAACATGAAGTCAAGATACGTTAATGGTAATTGGTGATTGGAATACAAAAATTGAAAACAGTGAAGAAGGCATAGTAGTTGGAAAATATGGGCGTGGTGATAGAAATAATGCTGTAAATAGAATTATTGAATTTTGTACTTTCTATGATTTGGCCTTTGCAAATATTTCTTTTAAAAGACACAAATGATGACTTTACACAAAGACTTCACCTAATGTGGTACATAACAATCAGATTGACTGTATCTGTGGGAGAGATCATTAGAGAAGCTCAATATCGGCAGTCAAAAGTAGGCCAGGGATGGACTGTGGGTCAGACCATGTGCAAGTTCACAATGAGGGTGAAGAGAATTAAAATCCACGAGAATCAAGATATGATCTTGAATCTATTCCATCTGAATTTTAAGACCTTAAGAATAGGTTTGAAGCATTGAATGTCAATGATCAAAGACCAGATGAGTTGTAGGATATCAAGAATATTATCCATGAAGAAAGCAGAAGTTCATTACAAAGACAAAGAAAGAAAAAAGTAATAGATACCAGAAGAGATTCTAAAAATTGCATGAAAAGTTGAGAAGCCAAAACAAAGGGAAAACATAATGAAGTAAAAGAGCTGAACAGAAGATTTCATAAGGCAGCTTAAGAAGACAGTTGTTGTTGTTGTTAGGTGCCATCGAGTTGTTTACGACTCATAGTGACCCTGTGAATGAAAGGCCTGAACACTGTTCATAAATAGAGTTTCCGGAGGCAAGCCATTTCAGAATTTCGGAAGTGGATGCCTCTCCTGCTTCCAGGAAGTATTATAATGAAATATTATAATATATTATAATGAAATATGCTAGAATTGGAGAATAAAAAGGGAAGAACTTGCTCTGAATTTCTGAAGTTGCAAAAACTAAAAAAACAAATTTAAGCCTCAAGTTGTAGTATTGAAAGATACCATAGGCAATATATTGAATGACCTGGAAAGCATCAAAAGAAGACAGAGGAAATACACAGAATCAGCTCTATAACTGGATGGAAAAATAAGATCATAGTTGTATACCCCTCTACTAAGGTGTTTAACATTTATTATCTTATTTGAATTTTGTAACTAGTGCCTTTTAAATTATGGTTCCAAGGAATACTGCTTTTCTTGAGCTAACTAAGGGATTTACTTCTAGAACCTATGAGCATCATTTCTATGCTAGATGAAAAATAATACAGTGCTTTAACTAATATTTAAACTCCCTCCAACCTCTTATTTCCCCTTCTCCCTTATAATTCTTGACTTATATGAAAAAAAGCTATATCTATATTAGAGTGGAATTGTGTTTAGCTATTTTAATTAACCTAATAATTCCAAAAAATTAACTTGATTTTAGGAATTCAGCTTTTAGGGAGGATAATACTGCACATAACAAATGAACAATGTCCATAGAATAAGTTATTTTACTTATTTTATTGAGATTGACAGAGTTCCTGCTTGGAAATTCCATCTTGAACAATGTAAGATTCCTAGTGTGCTTCATTTTATTTCATATTTCCATCAATCTCATGGTCTTTTATTATCATCACTATGACTTAAGCGATGAGACCATTACACCACAGGAAAGGTAAAACTCAACCTATCTGACTCTAAAATCCAGGGTGACTTCCATGTGCTCAATAGTGTTAAGTGGTATTGTCTAATCATGAACTGTTGTTATAAACACCTTCACTACGGTGGTTATGTTTAATTGAAGTTTTTTCCTCATCACTAGAGGTTTTGTGCTTGAAAGTCATTGCCTCTTTCTACTTGCAGTAAGTGTTGTCTGCAAGGTTCGTCTTATACTCTGTTACATATCCAACATTTGCCAAAATCATCTTCAGAATTTACCTTCTGTTGTTCACTCAGACATAGATTTCTTTGTCATTAAGGTACAGCTCAATATCTTCCTAAAAGCTGCCTTCAAATGGGCTATGCAGTTAAAAACCAAATGTTGTTGTTGTTGTTGTTATGTGCCGTCGAGTCGCTTGCGACTCATAGCAACCCTGTGTACAACAGCCCTAAACTCCGCTCTGTCCTGTGCCAATCACACCGTCTCTGACACTCCCATCCCAATTATCCCAGTCACTGAATCAATCCACCTCATAGAGGGCCTTCCTCTCCTGCGCTGTTCCTCCACCCTCCCAAGCATGATGTCCCTCTCTAAGGACTGGTCTCTCCTCACAACATGTCCAAAGTATGTTAGACGAAGCCTCAGAATCCTTTCCTCCAAGGAGCCACCCGGTTTAACCCTTTCCAGGACAAATCTGTTTGTTTTCCTAGCAGTCCATGGTATTCTCAATACTCTTCTCCCGCACCACAGCTCAAAGGCATCAATTCTCCTTCTATCCTCCTTGGTCATTGTCCAACTCTCTGATGCATAACAGGTGATTGCAAAGACCATGGCCTGTATCAGACGCACCTTAGTCTCCAAAGAGACACCATTGCTCTTCAGCACTTTGGAGAGGTCCCTAACAGCAGACTTTCCCATTGCAATGTGCCTTTTAATTTCGTGGCTGCTGGTGCCAAGACTGTTGACTATGGAGCCAAGCAAACTAAAGCTGTGTACAATCTCAATCTCTTCACCATCCATCCTGATGCTGCCAATTGGTCCAGTGGTGAGAATCTTTGTCTTCTTAGAAAAAGCAGATCTGGGATGAGTTGTTAAAAACTCTCTGAGATATCAGTTCATATTTAAAGATGTTCATTTATTAATTCCACTATAAAATAAAAATACTTGTTATCAACATGTAAAGACAGCCCAAATAAAATTAGAAGGTTACTCACCAGGAGATATTCAAGTGCACAGTGCAGAAAAGTAGCAAATGGGAGAACTTATTCCTAATGTGCTGAGAGTGTATTCAAAATGAGAGTTAGCAATTTTTATTGTCTTCAGTGTTCCACACAGTTGGTGTTACATGCATAGAGAGTCCCTGGATTTGACCCTCCGCCTTGCCTGGCCAAAGGTTTGTGTCAGGTGGAAGGAGGAACAAAGAAAAATAAATATCCGCTAGTTTTGTCATGCTCATGAAGAATCCTGACATGGGTGTGCCCTTGTTAGAGGATCTAGTTTAGAGGTAAGATAAAGAAACAGAAGTGAAAAGGATAGATAGATCATTACCCTAGGAAAACCAGAAAGGTTCATATCCTTTATCTTTGCCTTCATTCATGCCCCTCTCTTTATCTGTCTAATGCTTGGTGTGACCCTAAAAGTTGATATAGTTGTACAAAACTGAGTTGCCATTTTCTTGAAGATATATATGTTGTTGTGTACCATCGAGTCAGAACTTACCTACAGCTGACCCTCCAGCAGGTTTTCAGAGGCAGTTAATCACGTCAGAGTTTTCCCATCCTTCTCCCATGAAGCAGCTCATGGATTTGAAGCCTTCAGGATTACAGCATAGCCTCTTACCACAAGGCCATGGCTTATCGACTGAAGAAACAAATCTAAATTTATGTTGTTACAAAACTGGCTTAAATAATTTAGCATTTTGTAAATAAAGTGGGAGATATTGCCTATAAAGAAGGAGTTGAAGAAATAAAATTGTGTCCTTAAAGTTGAAGGAAAACTTTCTGTTGTGGATTCTTTGAGAAAAATTTACTTATTGCCCAGCAAAAAAGCAAAACCAAAACAAAACTTAAGTGCTCCCCATCTCCCCCAAGTTATGCAGATAAAGAGTTAAATTTCATATGAAAATTATTTTAATACAAACAACTTTTCTAGGTTTTGGTGGTTTTTTGGTTTGTTCTCTACTATGACCATTTTATACGAAACAAATTCTTTTAGGCCTAATTGAAGTCAACATGGTTAGATGGCCAGCTCTGCTGAGATTGTATTTTATTTGGACTCTATATTGGTATTATCTTTTTTCAAGTTTAATAACTGACTCAAATATTTAATAGTAGGAGCTCTCATTAAAGAAAAAATAAATGAGGATATACTTTTTAGAAGGACTTATTTATTTTCCTTATCAGCTTTATCACCTTTCTAGCAAAAGGAAGAGAGCAGGACCATTCTATGTATGTACTTCAGAAGACATTAATGCTGTAACCCCTGCAAATAATTTATTTCTGAATATATCATCATTCAAAAGACCAGGGAACCACCAAATAGCAGTAATAACTCTTCTTCCAGCTCTGCTGAATAGCAGATTGCACTATGTGAATCTCTTGTTTATTGGAAAATCGTTCTTTTAAGGACTCACACGTATTTTCTAGATCACTCTGTCTACCTCTGCATTGCATAAAAGTTTTCTGTTAAATTTAGTGGCTTGCTTTGAAATGTACGTGGGAAGAGATGAGAATGGAAAGATTTTATTTCTGTGAAACATTTTAGAAATAGATGACAAAAGATCATTAAATGGATTAATTTACAAGCTCCCTTACCAAAAAAAACCTGTTTATACATAAAAGCGAGTAGTAAACCTTTTTTAATTAAATTGCATTGTACCATGCACTCTTTCCTCACCAGGGTTCTTTTGACCCCTCACCTCTTATTTCATCCTGCAGGCACCCCACTGCTGGTGAGGAGGAGCAGTGACCCAGCCCCTGGCCCACCTGCCGATGTCCAGCCAAGTGCTTCACACTCCAGTGGCCATAGTTTGAAACCTGTTGTTCCAGTAGGTATCCTGGCATTTGCATTTCTAATGCACAAAGTGCTAGCCTGAGACTAACTTAACTCTTGCCCTCTTGTAAGTAGATGAATATCTTAAAGACCTAGATCTTTAGCTAGAATATACCATATTAGAGCTAGAACTAATGTCTAGCTATTATTTACAAAAAAAACCAACCCTGATAATGAAATAAGCATTTTTTTTAAGTTGCTTTGTACATATCTACACTTCCACAACAAGGTAAGTACATTTTTAGCTCCATTTTACTGATAATGAGATTGAAGCTGAGGAAGGGTTCATTACTTGCCTAAAACCACATAGCTAATAGGTATCAAACAAACAAACAAAAAACACAATAAAAATCCACTGACATCAAGGTGAGTACAACTCACACTGAGTCTCCATTGCATTTTGGCTGCTTCTTTTCTATATGGGAAAAGACTGGTTCATCTTTTCCTAGAAAGAGGATATTAGATTCAAGCCACCAGCTTTTCAACTAGCAGCCCAACATGCTATATTTACATCACCAGGGCTTCTTAGCTAGTAAATGGCAGGCAAGAATTTAATCTAGCTGTTCGCTCTCACAGGATTGGTACAGTAACTGGAATAATAGGGGAAGGTGAGTTGAGTCAGTGAGACTGGCTCAGGACAGGGCAGGCTTCTGAGCCATTGTACATCCAGTCACTATGAGTTTCAGTCCACTCAGTGGCACATAGCAACAACAGGTTGTAAATTACATGAGTAGAGATTGCCCATCTTTCTTATGCCAGAGCTGCTGATGGATTAGAACTTCCAGAGCGGTGAGGCCTTGCGTTGGTAACACAACTTATTATGGGCTACCTCACCAGGGCTCCCTGGATGTAAGAGTCTGAGCCATACATTAGTCTGGAGAAAGTCCCACAGGTTCTCAGCCATGAGCCAGCTTATCTTATTGACGTTCTATTCCAAGGTCAGGCCTATCCCAGCCAAAAAAACATTAACGCTTTTGTTGTGTAAAGGGTAAGGAAAGTTAGGTGAACTGAAGGCATTTTAACAGTTACTGTTCTAACCTAGAAGAGAGAGTAAGAAAGGAAGATATAGTTATTCTTAGATCCGTGTATATCTAAATGGGTAGAATGTTTAGACTTGTGCTGTTGAGTATATCAGCCATTAGTCACTTACGGATACTGAGTAATTAAATCCTAGATAATCCAAGCTATTTTATAAGCTTGCATCAGGGCTAATCCAAATTGTTAAGTGTTTTAAGTGTTTTACCAAATAGAAAGACTGACATATCATAAAAGCTAAGATGTTTTATTAACAACCTTCATAATGACTACTTGATGAAATATTAATATGTTTGGTGTTGTGTTGTGTGTCATTGATTCAGAACTGACTCATAGCTGATCCTCCAGCTGGTTTTCAGAAGCAATAAATTGCCTGGAAAGTAAATTGCTCGCCGGCCCTTCTGGTGGAGCAGTGGATTCAAACCACACGATTTTGAAATGCAGCTTAGCTTATTACCATTAGGCCATCGGGGAGCTTCCCACGTACCACACGTGTTTGGTATATTGGTATAAAATATATTATTGAAGTTATTTTTCTTTCTCTTTTTACTTTATTTTTAATGAAGCTTGTTGCTGTTGTTGTGTGTCCTCAAGTCATAGACAGATGACCTTCCAGCAGGTTTTCAGAGGCAGCAAATTTTCACGAGATTACCCATCCTTCTCCTGTGAAACATCTGGTTAATTCGAACTGTGTACCTTTGGGATTGCAGCACAGCTTCTTGTCACTAGCCCATAGAACATTTAAATCACATATTTTTATTGGGCAATGCAACTTTAAAGAGAAGTAAAGTTTGATATAGCATTAATTAAGGATTTGAGACCTTTTGGGAAAGTTTTTTTGATCTCCACATTATCTTTGAAGTGTCAGTGTGCTTGGGTTTGCCTTGGGCAGTCCTAGGCCATGCGCTTAGCCCTGGTATTACTAATAATAGTGCCTCCACTAACTTTTTATTAATAGATTTTTTTTTATTTTATACTGGTTTACTTACAAAGTTTTTCACACCAAATCTTTCCCATTTCCTTAAGCTGCCCCTCCCCCACCAGCCAAATTGTGTGACTCTTTGATCCCCACCCATCCATCCTTACCCCTTTGCCCCCCCTTTAGATCCTCATACACATTTTACTAGTTATTTCTTTCTATAATAATGGTCTTATATATTATTTCTACTTATGGGACTGAGTTAGTTCTCTTAACATAATGCCCTCCAGTTCCTCCCAAGTTAGGTAGTGATTTACAGAATCCTTGTTCCTGCATGGTACATAGTATTCCATCATGTGAATGCACCATACTTTTCAATCCAGGGGTGTTTGTAGTTTATGTGGTACCTATATATCACCCAAAGGCATGTGGTTCAAATCCACCAGCTATTCCACAGAAGAAAGATGAAGACACTCCTCCCATGTGACTTACTGCCTCTGAAAAACTGCTGCAGGGTCGGCTCTGTTCTTACTCAACAGTATATGACATAACAACAGTGTACGTTACCCTAGGGAGCTCTGGTGGGCTAGCAGGTAGGGAGCTGTACTGTCAACTCCAAGGCCTGTGGTTTAAATCCACTCCCTGTTCCTTGGAAGAAAATAGGGAAGCCTCCTCTTGTGCAATTTACAGGCTCTGGAAGTCTCCTGAAGGTCAGCCATCAATTTTTACTCTATGGCAATGAGTTGTTGTTTGTTGATACGTTAGTTGCTCTGCCAACCTAAGGGTTCAAATCTCCAGCTGCTCCTCAGGAGAAATATGGGCAGTCTCCTCTTGCGTGATTCACAGCCTTTGAAAATCCACTTGGTGGTCAATTCCAACACAACAGCAAGGAATTGACTTGTTTGGTGTATTGCCCTACGTTGTTGTCAGATACCATTGAGTTGATTTTTTTTTTACTTAAAATAACCACATATAACTCAGTAAAATTGTCCCATTAGGTTTTCTAGTCTATGATATTTACAAAAGCATATTATCTGATATATTTTCCTGCCATAGGGTAGACTCAAACTTTAACCCTAACCTTTTACTTAGCTGCTGAGTTCTTAACTCTTACACCACCAGAACTCCTTTATGTAACTCTGTAGTCACTTTTTTGTTGTTGTTGTTTGGTGAAATAGTATAAAACAACAATAACAAATATTACCCTAGGATGCAATGATGTCAGTCTGGAGACTAAGGTGTGCCTGATACATGCCATGATCTTTGCAATCACTTGCTATGCATCAGAGAGCTGGACAATGAATAGGGATAATAGAAGAATTGATGCCTTTGTGCTGTGTTGGAGAAAAGTATTGAATATACCATGATCTGCTAAGAAAACAAACAGGTTTGTCCTGGAGAGGGTGAAACCAGGCTGGTCCTTGGAGGCAAGGATTCTGAGGCTTCATCTGACATACTTTGAGTGTGTTACAAGGAGGGACAAGTCCTTGGAGAGGGATGTCATGCTTGGGAGGGTGGAGGGACAGCAGAGGAGAGGAAGACCTTCTATGAGATGGATTGATTCAATGACTGGGATAATGGGCGTAGGTGTGTCAGAGACAGTGAGACTGGCACAGTATAGGGCAGGGTTTAGGGCTGTTGTACATAAGGTCTTTATGAGTCGCAGGCTACTCGATGGCACATAACAACAACAACAACTCATTGCCCTAGTAGGAAGGGAGGAGAACCATGTAAAAGTAATAACCAGCATTCAAACTGAAACATACCTCAAAAGTGATTTTGTGTCAACGGTATGGAGGAATGGAGTATGGATGCAGTCAGTATCCTTCTCTTCTATCCCGTAATTCTACTTGCTGTTCCCTCCATAATGCCAGCAACATTATACTTGATTCCTATGATTTGATGTGTTGATCATGAGTTTTGTGTGATAACGTAGCCTTGTAGCAACTAATATGAAAAATGATTGCTTAAAAAGCCATGTTCAATTGCATTTCAGTTCAATATGAAGGAAACAAAAACAATCAAAATTTCCATTTCTTAAACAGAGTATTCACGTGTAAGTAATTCGCAGATGGCAGAACCCCCAAGTGAGTTATGTTCAATCATTCCCAAGAAATGAAACTTACTTGTAAGCAGCAGCATAGGAAGCTGTATGGATGAGTATTTGACACATTTGATTATGTTGAAATATTGCCTTTAAAACCACAGTTGGTGATTGTTATTTTTAGTTGCACTTCATTAAGTTTTCCATAGAGAGATGAGTTGTGTTTGAGACCCAGAGAGATGTGTTTTTGAAAAATGTAAAAGTTGTACTTGTTTTCTGCTGGCTTCAGTTTATGATTGTTAAGTGATAGCATGTGAGTTCCAGCTTACATGGTCCTGCGTCTAACCAAATGAATGATACCGTCCCATTGTGCACCATCTCCCACCATCACTGTGCTTGACCCCAGGGCCACAGTCATTGTCCAGTCATCTCATTGACTGTTTTCCTCACCCTGTACTTTACCAAACGTTATGTCCTTCTCCAGGGACTGATCCTTCCTAACAAGCTGCTCAAAATGTGTAAGATGACGTTTCGCAATGCCCTCCTCTCAGAAGCCTTCTGGCTGTTCTTTGAACACATTCATATATTCAGCTGGTAGCCTCTTGTATAGTCAGTACTCTTCTCAACCATCATAATCCAAGGGCAGCAATTCTCCTTTGATGTGCTTTATTGGTTGTCCAGCTTTCACAGGATATAGTTGAAAGCACCATGGATCAGATGCACCTTAGGTAACAAAGTGGCATCTTTGCTTTTTCACATACTGTCTTTTGAAAGTTTTGCTCAAGGCAGAAAACTGATTTCTTGGTTACTCAGCTCTATCCACTGGTGGTGTGTATCCAAGTACAATCAAATCCTTTATGACGTCAGTCTTTTCTTCATTATGATGTTGCTTATTAGTCCACTTGTGAGGATTGTGGTTTTAATTTTTTTTATTATGTTACATTATAAACCATATTGAAAACTGTAGTGTTTTGTCTTCATCTGAACATTATTTTTT